GTTTAGTAGTGAAGCAGGCATTATGGAACTGTTGTATCATCATTTTGTAGTAAAACAGGTATTATTGAACTGTTGTATCATCATTTTGTAGTAAAACAGGCATTATTGAACTGTTGTATCATCATTTTGTAGTAAAACAGGCATTATTGAACTGTTGTATCATCATTCTGTAGTAAAACAGGCATTATGAAACTATTGTATCTTTGTTTAGTAGTGAAGCAGGCATTATGAAACTACTAATTATTGAAGAGGAACAAGGTATTTTTAGTATAAAAGATATATAGAACCTTCTATGTGTTTTTTCTGTAGTGAAAGCAGGCATTATGAAACTGTTGTATCTTTGTTTAGTAGTGAAGCAGGCATTATGGAACTGTTGTATCATCATTTTGTAGTAAAACAGGTATTATTGAACTGTTTTATCATCATTTTGTAGTAAAACAGGCATTATGAAACTATTGTATCTTTGTTTAGTAGTGAAGCAGGCATAATGAAACTACTAATTATTGAAGAGGAACAAGGTATTTTTAGTATAAAAGATATATAGAACCTTCTATGTGTTTTTTCTGTGATCACAGCTGGTAAAATAATAAGTCTGTCCTCTGAAGTGTAAAGAACCTGAGCTGGTAAAATAATAAGTCTGTCCTCTGAAGTGTAAAGAACCTGAACTGGTAAAATAATAAGTCTGTCCTCTGAAGTGTAAAGAACCTGAGCTGGTAAAATAATAAGTCTGTCCTCTGAAGTGTAAAGAACCTGAACTGGTAAAATAATAAGTCTGTCCTCTGAAGTTTAAAGAACCTCAGCTGTTAAAATAATAATTCTATACTCTGAAGTGTAAAGAACCTGAACTGGTAAAATAATAATTCTATATTGTGAAGTGTAAAGAACCTCAGCTGTTAAAATAATAAGTCTGTCCTCTGAAGTGCAAAGAACCTGAACTGGTAAAATAATAATTCTGTATTCTGAAATGTAAAGAACCTGAAGTGGTAAAATAATAATTCTATACTCTGAAGTGTAAAGAACCTGAACTGGTAAAAATAATAATTCTATATTCTGAAATGTAAAGAACCGGAAGTGGTAAAATAATAATTTTATACTCTGAAGTGTAAAGAACCTCAGCTGTTTACAATTCACATCATTTAAAGGTTTTTTACACTTCAGAGTATAGAGTTATTATTTTACCAACTGAGGTTCTTTACACTTCAGAATATAGATCTATCACTTTTTCAGATTCAGAAAATTTAAAACAACTTTAGCTATATATATCCTAAACAAATAGTGTTATATGTTGTGTAAGTAAATGTAAGCTTCAGCAGTTTATAGAGGAAGTGTACTTATTCTAACAGTTTCTGTTTCGGAATGGACAAGAGTCAATTCAGACGACACTGGAACTTGATATTTTATACTGTGAGTATTTAGACATACCATCAGATAGAACCATAGGTCAACCAAAGCTAAGAGGTCATCTCCACCTTCGTTTAGCTAACATTGGGTCACCACTTTCAGGAGATTCAATGAGAAGAATTGAACAGAGTAAGTTTTATCAACATCATATTATATGGTTTCTTCATACCAGAACTTTACTGAGGTGTATTTTCTAAGGGTCTGTCTGTATCAAGAACTTTCATTGAGGTGTATTTTCTAAGGGTCTGTCTGTATCAAGAACTTTCATTGAGGTGTATTTTCTGAGGGTCTGTCTGTATCAAGAACTTTCATTGAGGTATATTTTCTAAGGGTCTGTCTGTATCAAGAACTTTCATTGAGGTGTATTTTCTAAGGGTCTGTCTGTATCAAGAACTTTCATTGAGGTTCTTGATACAGACAGACCCTTAGAAAATACATTTTCACTGAGATGTATTTTCTAAGGGTAGAGACCCATTATCAATAACTTTCATTGAGATGTGTTTTAAGGATCAGTCTGTATCAACATTTTTCACTGAGATGTTTTTTCTAAGGATCTGCTTGTATCAATAACCTTCATTAAGATGTGTTTTTAAGGTCTGTCTGTATCAATAACTTTCACGTAGATGTGTTTTCTAAGAGTCTGTTTGTATCATAAACTTTCACTGAGATGTTTTCTAAGGGTCTGTTTGTATCAGAAATTTATATTGAGATGTGTTTTCTTAGAACTATACATATTTGTAAACGGTTTTCTGTGATTTGGTCTGGAAGTTTATAATAATTAAGATAATTTAATTTGAATATGTTGTTACTAGCATAAACTGGAAAGAAAAAGAAATACAAAGTACACCATCTTTGTCTTCTGTTCTGAATCAGCAATATCACAAAGAACACCATGTTTCTTTTCTGTTCTATATCTGCAGTGTGAAACTACAGAGATGTAAAATACTCTGGTTGTTGGCTGTTCTATATCTGCAGTGTGAAATACTCTGGTTGTTGGCTGTTATATATCTGTAGTGTGAAACTAGTGACACAAAGTTAACTGTGCATATTGTCTTTTCTATATCTGCACTGTAAAACTATAGAGACACATAGTACACAGTGTTTATTGTCTGTTCAGTACTTGCAGTGTGGAACTATAGAGACATAATTTACACTGTGCTTGTTTTCTGTTCTGTACCTGCAATGTGAAACTATAGAGACACAAAATATATGCTGTGCTTATTGTTTGTTCTATATCTGCAGTGTGAAACTATAGAGATGTAAAGTGCACCTTGTTTGTTTTTTGTTCTATACCTGCAGTGTGAAACTATAAAGACAGAAAGTACACTGTGTTTGTTGTCTGTTCTGTACCTGCAGTATGAAACTAGAGAGATGTAAAGTGCACCTTGTTTGTTTTTTGTTCTATACCTGCAGTGTGAAAGTATAGAGACAGAAAGTACACTGTGTTTGTTGACTGTTCTATACCTGGAGTGTAAAACTACAGAGACACAAAGTGCACTGTGTTTGTTGTTTGTTCTATATCTATACTGTGAAAATATTAACACAAAGAACACCCTGCTTTTTGTCTGTTCTCTATCTGCAATGCTAAACTGGAGATTCAAATAAACATCATGTTTGCTATCTGTATTGTATGCCTAGTGATCATTATGACTTAAAAGAATACACATATATGACATTCCTGTGATGAACTTGATAAAAATTGTCTTCTGTATTATTTGTAAATTCATAAGACTACCTGATATTAAACCAACAAAACTATTTAGTGTTACAATAAGTATTGTTGTTTTGAAACTTTTGTACTGTAATATAGTGTATAATTAATGAAGACAGGAGAGTGTTATACATTACATTCTGTAACTCTTGTAGCAACACTATTTCTGTGTTATAAACTGTTGATCGTAATCTCCTCATGTTTAAGAACTATTTTCTGTTTAGGAGAAAAGTACACCAACAACCTTCCAGTACTTCTGTCCTCTAATAAAAAGTTTACAGTGAACAAGCCAGGTTCGTATAAATATATCTGTTCCTTAACTGTGTGTTTGTACACTATTTATTTTAGTTAGTGGAAGCTCATTAGTTTATTATGAAATTCTTTCAATTTCTGCTAACTGCCAACATGTTTTGAAGGAAACTTGTGTACAAATTACGTACTTGTTCAAGTTTTATTATATTCTGTTTATATAATTTAACTTAGCAAAACAAAATGCTTCTGTGGTTTTGCCAGTTAAACTTCATGTGACATTTGTACTGAAATGCATTACTTATAAAAGAGAAAGTGTAGAAAACATTTTCCGCTCCTCTTTCCAGTTTTTGTTATATTAACTATTACACTATTAATATATACTTCATTTAGAAAACCAAATTTAAAAAAATGTTAAAATTATATCTTTTTTTTTTATTTTGGCCTATGAATATCTAAGTTATATGCTTAAACCTAAAATTTACTATTTAAAACACCTTTATATTTTGTATATTCTGATTATGAACCAAATTCAGTAACTTGTTTTAGCCACAAAACCTTTCATACGACTAGAAGTATTGCTTGAATTGCTTTGTAAGATGTTTTATGTAACAGGTACAGATGTTACAAAAAATCATAACCACAGCTCAAACATTAAATTAACACTAGTTTCATGTTGCATTTGAATTTGCACTTGACAGTTAATTAAAAATATATCTCAGAGATTTTATATATTTGTGTGTGTGTATATATATATATATATATTTATAGGTATGGGTAAGTAGGTGGTGGTATCTAGCTCGTGGAAGGAGTTAATTGGTGGAATGTTATATTGGGGCTTGGGGGTTTCTCGCCAAGAAGTAGCAGTGTGCGTGCTGATCCTGTCGATTGTTTGTTGATTATGGGAGTTTGCTGTAGGATTTTTATTGCTTCGTGTATTTGAAGAGTTGTGAAGTCGTTAAATTGGCGGTTTACTTTGGTGTTTTGTACTAGGTCCTGACGTGTGAGTTTTTGGTTGTGGATGCAGGCACAGTGTTCTTTGATGGCTCCATTTTGTAGGTGCATTGTTAGGCGTCTTGACAGGGTTGTGGTAGTCATTCCGATGTAGGAGGCGTTTGCCAGGAGCTCGCAGTCTCCTTTATTACACTTGTACTCGTAAATGACGTTCACTTGCTGTAGATCTGTTGTCTTTTTAGCAGGGCTGTTTTTCACGATAAGGTCTGACATTGTGGTAGACTTGTAGTAGATGTTGAGTTGCAGTTTTGTGTTCTGTTTCTTTGGTGTAGTATATTTGTAAACGATATCTTTTAGAATCCGTTCGTCTGTCTTGTATGCAGTGGAGAATTGGTTTTTATAATAGACTTTGAGTTTTTCAGTGGAGTTGTCGGTAGTGGTGTTTTTTTGGGGGCTGTCCAGGTATCGTTGAAGTGTC